AATTAACGTCTCACGTTACATTTCTAAATTCAATGCACATTATATACAGTCCAGAAAAATGAAAGAATCCGTTTAATTTATGAATATATCTCATGCATATGTTCATCTACATTTACACTACAATCTGTGTCCTCATTTACCCATTCATACAGCACTCTACTAGATCTCTACAAAGCTAATTTAACAAATCATTCTAATGAGATTAATCAGTGCATTGAGATCACATTCATACACTGATGGGCCACACATCGGAGGCAACGAGGGGTTCAGTGTCTTGCCCAGGGACACTTCGGCATGTGACTGCTGGTGGATTCGAACCCCCAAATCTTGCATTGGAGGACGACTGCTCTAACCACTCAGCCACAGCTGCCCTGATTAACACTTAAACACAATTGTTTGTTTGCTCAAAATTATAGTAAAGGTCAGTCTCAGTCTGACTTTTCCTTAATAAATGTGCTTTGATGGTCAAATCAGCAGCATTTTCAAAAGCTGATACGTGGAAACATGAATGCGAAGGGCAACTCGCTGTTCATTTCTTCTAAATTTAACAAGATAAGCACCTAAAAACAATCATTTGTTTGCTCAAAATTACAGGAAAGGTGTGTCTCAGTTGAACTTTTACTTAATAAATGCACTTTGACGGTCAAATCATCTGCATTTTGCCAGGGTGGCGCAGCGAAATAAAGCTGATTCGGTTGCTCCAGGCAGATGACGGTGGCAGTCTATGACAAATCGATTGTGTCATTAATAGCCACTTTTACCTATTGCATGATACAACGACATGCCTTACTAAAGTAAGGGCGGCTGTGGCTGAATGGTTAGAGCAGTCGTCCTCCAATGCGAGAGTTGGGGGTTTGAATCCACCAGCAGTCACATGCCGAAGTGTCCCTGGGCAAGACACTGAACCCCTCATTGTCTCCGATGTGTGTCCCATCGGTGTGTGAATGTAATCTAAGTCACTGATTAATCTCTTTAGAATGACTTGTTCAGTTATGCCCCTTTTCCATTAGTACCGGTACGGGCCGACTGTACCCTACTTGGCCCGGTTCTGAGGCTTTTCCATGAGTACCGGTACTTAGCACCTGTTACTATTTTCAGTACCCATGGCTCTGTGGTTCTAACCGGTACGAAGAGGTACAAAAACGTGACGTCAGAACCCTGTCGGTCACTGATTGGTAGGGGGCGGAGTCGGGGGCGGAGTCACTGGATCCTTCAGAAACTTTTCAAAACGATAATCTGCCATTTGCAATTTCTTGGACTGGAGCAGCGGCTGGATTTATTTTAAAGATTTTTAAAAACAATACTGACAACATCTTGGTCTAATGTTGATGTGCTGGCATTTTTTGTGCTTGGTGACCGACAACATAATTTAGAGCAAGCTGGATGGAGCTCTGCTGGTCTACCCTGATCCTCCCTCCGGAGCCTCGGAGCGCCAGGCCGGGCGGGGCGTCATCTCCCCGGCTCCAAGTTCAGCTGGTCACCGCGGAAGATCCTTCGATGTGCCGACTCGGAGGCTCGGGTTCCGGATACCAGCCTTGTGTGCTCAGAGCTCCGCTGGTCACTGCAAAGCTGGAGATGGGGACTCGCAGATGGACGTTGCCAGACCCCGGCCGCACGTAATCATGAAGGCTGAATCCCGATCCCACCTGGCAGTCAGGCGGACGGTGGAAGCGATTTTTGAATAAAATAATATTTTGTTTTTATACAAAAAATGTTTTAAAAATTTGCTGAAGCGATTTAAAAATGATTATTATTTTTTTTACATGTAAAATGTTTTTTAAAATCGCTTCCACCGTTCGTCGCAGACCCTTCTCTGCCCGCCTGTCTGCGTGGGTCGGGTCATCATGATTACGCGCAGCTGGGGTCTTGGAACGGCCTCTGTGAGTCACCAGCTGAGCTGGAGCTGGGAAGATGAGCCTGCCCGTCCTGTCTCCGGAGGAGAGGATCGTCA